CAACAATTTCCAGGTACATTTATACCATATTCATATTCTATTTCCTCGTGGTACTTGTGCAGTTGGGCTTGACTTCGAGCATTCGTGCGCCCATTACGCGTTGTGTTTCGCGCGGGTGGAGATGGTGCTGAACGTGAATGGGGCTCTTGTTGTGTGCCGCCTGCTCCACGATTTCTCCTAAATGAACTGGGAGGGAACGCCACACGTTGGCGGGTGCAAAGGCTCCTTCTTGATGTGGCGTTTGTTTATGATTTCTGTTCACCACCGCCGGACGCGGGTGGTGGAGGGATGGAGAGGGGAATGAGGATGCCCCGTGGTGCAATAAAACCGGTTTTCGAGAGGAGAGCCACATGAAAACAAGTTTCGCCGAGGGTTGTCGTGCTTGAGTCGTTTCGCAACACCACAACGAAGGCGTGAGCGTTAATTGGAATTATGATTCGTAATTCTTGATGTGGCACGCGCAGGACGAGACGGACGGTTCCCTGATCGTTGCTGTGACGTCACCGCGTCGTTTTTGCCGCCCACCCATTTCGGTCTTTAAAAAATAAGAATGGGGACAATCGGTTCTTAGAGCAGATGGCGGGGTTTTCACACATGCTTGACATTCTTGAAAATATTTGTTTAGCTTTTTCCCTCCTTCCCTGTGCATACCTGTTCATTTTTCACGCCCACAAAGATGATCATCTTCAAGATCAGTTTCAATACCTGATTCTTCCAAATAATAGCCCATACCAAATTAGGAAATACGGATCTTTTCAAAACTGTTTTAATGGCTTCTTTGATATTAATTCATGGATGATTAATCATTGAAGAATGTTGCAGATCAGTTATTATTTTTGGGGGGCAGGTCTTGCACCTGTCTCAAGGCACGCTCTGACCTCCGCATGGCATCGGTTCCTTATCCTAGACAGCAAGCACTTATTGAAACTATTCGGAGCCAATGTTATTTTTCCAAATGGTGATTCGAAATCACAAATGTCGCACCGTTTAAAAAAAATGTTTGAAACATTTACACGGTGAGCAGAAACCGAACATGGTATTTTGATTATCAAGAATATTGAAACATTGTCGATACGTTCAACATTTTTGAAATTCCGAACATAGAACAACAGAATTTCAATCGTATTTCAATTGTCTAGAGTGTTAAAACAAAGTTAGTAAAAGGGCCGCGCTCCAGTTACCATCAAGTCATTGAACCATTGAGGAGCTGATGTTGATTCTTCACCATGTTGAGCAGTGTTTGTTTCCATTGAGAATATTGGTGCCATCCCACATCATCTTGCTACTGCTTCGGACGTATAACCTAAGCCTTAGGTTATTGAACCGCTTTGTTTTATGCTTAGGCAACAGCACAGTTCTTGGGCTAATTGCACCCAAGTACTGCAATATATAATTCATGACCACAGAAAAACACTGATGGATAATGCATCATAACATTTGGGCCCAGACATGGCGCTATGATACATGCTGTGTTTTAAAAGACCAGCTGTATCTAGAGCTTGACAGCGATCCGGCTGTCTGTGAAGGCTGAAAAATCATGGCAGAGTTGGAGGCCGACAGAATGGAAGATGCTCGTCAACGACTTCGGGACGCGGCGCATCCTGAAGCGGAGGAGGCGCTTTTCATTAGCTGGCCGAATGTTTTCAGAGTTGAAGTAGGAACGCTCGCTGTTTGTTTCATGTCTAATAAACATCATTGCGAGGTTAATTTTAAATGTAAGAATGTTTTTGTCACCTTATCCCAAAATGCAAAAGCACGTTGGATGAATGCGTGTTTTGTGGTGTGTGCCCAACAGCCATGGCAGAGGCTCACCAGGCCGTGGCATTCCAGTTCACCATCACACCGGAGGGCATCGATCTGCAGCTCTCGTACCAGGCGCTCAACCAAATCTACCTGTCTGGAGTACGATCGTGGAAAAAGCGCGTCAGCCGCATCAGAGTGAGTAACAGAAAGCTTGTCCATCAATGTTGTGGTTGTCAAACTAAAATGCAGGAGAGCCTGACGGGCCAATGTTTTGATCGTCACGAATATTCTTTTGCCACGCGTGTGCTAACGGTGACAAATGTTTCCATTTAGTTGAGCGGGTATGTGGTTAAGCATTTGAGATCCGGTTTACCGAACAGACTCAGGCTTGCTGGCACACGTGATGTCTTGACTCCTAATATTTGAAGAGTTGCATATTGCGTGCAAAAAAAAAATACTAGAGACCCAGAGAGAATACTCTCATGGTGTTTCGATTCTTTCTAATATTTAGTTGGATTCTTTTGGGTCCATGTTAAATGTGCAACACATATTCGTGACAGCTCCCAGTATGAAACGGTGCCGCTATAGATTACAATCACGTTCATACTCATTGTTTTATTCATACCAGATGGAAATGGAACGTAACCCTCTCGAGGCAAAATTGCTTGGTCACGTTTACCGTATGTGTGCACAGAGAGATGTGTATCCATTTTGCAAGGTGGTTCTACAATTCTATTTCCCTGACTGTCTTCTTGAAAATGTTTGAACTGCAGAACCGAGTGATCAAAGGAATGTATCCAGCAAGCCCTTCCTCCTGGCTCTTTGTCGTCATTGCCATCTTGGCTACCATGTACACGCGCTCTGATCCCAGCATGGGCCTCATTGCCAAGATACAGCAACACCTTCCCCTCAGGTTGACATACGCACGCACGCACGCACGCATGCACACACACGCATACGCATACATAAAGGTGAAGAGATCCATAGCCACGGTTTCACTTCAAATTGTCCAAATCCTCGACTTCAGACTCTCAACAGTAATTATTCTCTGATTTCTGGAGTCCTTTGTGGAACCAGACTGATAATCTTTTGAATTGCATCCAAAGAAAACATTGGCAAACATCTGCTTATAATTTGGAAAACAATGACCGAATCAGAAACTCAATCAGTTTCAAAAAAGGTTGGCGAGGACATATCGATCCCTCCTGCGTGATATTGCTTCATCGTTGTTTCGTTGTTGTTGTTGTTTTTTTTAATCACTCAACGACACCAAATCAACAAGAATAATTGTCCTGTAAACAATAATTGAGGCAAAACTAGTTTTGTAACACACCTCAGTCCAATTTTATCGGATTATTTGTTGAATCAATGGAATCATCGATAGAATAATGGACTCTAAAAATAGTCCTGAGTGACAGTCCGACGACGCACCTTTGTTGGCATCCAGCCAGGTCCCAACGTTGGAGCGCTCATCCACAACCATGCGAGTTCTCTGCACGTTTAACTGCTGAGTCACAAGCGAGCAGCGTGGGTGTGTTTCCACCACTTGAACTCTGACCGACATCCCAAACAGTCTCTTGACTGACTCCGTATAACCGACTTTCTCTTTGCATTATGGTCACATGCACGCGCGCGCGCACACACACACACTTGTCCCATTCCATTTTGATAGCATCCATTAGGAAATTACTTCAGCACGTCAACTGTTTCTCCCAAATATCGCCAACATCATAATCGCATCCGGAGTCCGCTGACCTTGTTTCAATAGGCAGCCTCGTTGCTAATAATATTATGGTCATGTTTGATGCAGACCAAAATGCTTTGTTTTAAAATATATACGACACAACAATATTTGGAACCTCTCTGCCAATAGGAAACATGCAATACTCTCTTATGGTAACAGTCGCACTTTTGTAGCGTACGTGTCGCGTGAAACTGAACACACTGCACCCTAAGCATCCTAACACAAAAATATTAATAACACGCACATGCACACCCCAATATTTTTTTACACATTTTCACCTTTGTTTTCCTGCAGCGGGATAGAAATGAAAGCGTTGAACTATTTTGTGCCGTTTCAGTTGAAGGTCTGATCGCCATTTGTCTCTTTCACACCCTTGCACGCAGCCTCCACGTGTCTCTCAGCGCTCAGGGCCAGACGATGCTTTCGGCGCTGGTTTTCAGCACGCTGCTGTGGCTGTCCCTCATCCTCGCTCTCAGGTTCTGCCTCAAGCTGCTTCTCTCCTACCACCGGTGGATGTTTGAGCAGCACGGTCGAGTTTCCAACACCACCAAAATCTGGGTGGTAAGCCCTCCCTCCTACTCGGCAATACGTCCGCCCCCTTGTGGCGACCGTATTTCGTTGCCCGCGCACTCAAAAGTGACTCATCCTGCGTTTTCCTTCCCGATTGTGCCGGAAACCGTTCCAAATCTGTCTTGTCACTTTCTTTTTTTAGACTCTATTGAGGCTATTGTCTAGCAGGAAGCCGCTACTCTACAGCTACCAAACGTCGTTACCTCATCTGCCTGTTCCTGCCATCAAGGACACACTGAGCAGGGTGTGTGTGTGTACACATCTTCATTCGCAGTGCTCATGTCGATTTGTGTGACACAACAGCATCGATTGCTCCCGTTCTCAGTACTTGGAGTCAGCGCGCCCTCTGTTGGCAGATTCTGAATTCAAGCGGATGACACGACTGGCCTCTGACTTTGAATGCAACCTTGGAAATCGACTCCAACGTTACTTAAAGCTTAAAGCTCTCTGGGCAACGAACTATGTAGGTAACGAGCCGATCACTCACAAAAAGACTGAAATGTTTTCACACTTACTCCATTTGACATCTGACACGCCCCTTTTCACATACTGTTGCCTGCTCAGAAAAAAAGCAAAACCTTTTTTTTTTTTTTTTTTTTTTTAATGGCATGGAAGCACTAATGGTTTCAGAGCGTGCTCCTGAGCCAACGTGTGCGTGGAATTTTCTTGACTGTATCGTCTTTATATATTCAGAGGAACGGCGGTGAGGATTTACCTTATTGTCACCGGAAAAAGTCCAACTGAAACTTTCGTTGTCTGTTTTCCTTCCAGGTGAGTGACTGGTGGGAGGAATACATTTACCTTCGAAGCCGAGGCCCGATCATGGTCAACAGTAACTACTATGGCATGGTAACCGGCTGCAGTTTTTTTGCTGGAAAACCAGGGGGAGCCAGTTCTTTGCAAATGTGCAATATGAGTGCTTGGGTCATTTTTTTTTTTTTTTTCTTTTGAATGGAATGTCAAGCCACATCTTGAGGCAATCAGTTCCACCTTAACACTCTGCGTTTCCTTCTTGAGTCAGCTTGTGTACTGTTGAAACAAAACAAACAAACAAAAACACAATACCGTAAAAGTCTGCACTGTCAGCAGAAATGGGACATCAAAATACTGAGATTTGCCCCTGTGAGACACATCCGAAATTTGTCAGGCAATTTTGCCGGTTTCTTATGACCAAAGTTTCATTTTACCAAAAGAGGAAATGGTCTTTTTTGATCGTTTTATGGAAACAATCTCATTTGTATTTCCCCTCTTTTCCACATTCTACCACCTCGCATGAAAAATGAGAAACCCACGAGTGTTTCCTCTTTGATTTCACCTCTGGGTATGACAAATTATTTCCGGTTGTGGTCTACAAGTTTCCGCTTTGTGCTTGTACTTGATAGGACTTCCTGTATGTGACCCCGACTTCTATGCAAGCTGCAAGGGCAGGCAACACAATTACTGCGATGCTCCTTTACCGCCGCAAGGTCAACCGAGAGGAACTCAAACCGGTATGGAGTTTGTGGAGATAAAATCAGATGCACTACTCACAAAAAGTGAGGGATATTTGGCTTCCAACTTTTTCGTCAGTAATCTAATTCAATCTCTACCTGCCTGTGAGTGAAGGAAGTGGCCCGCATTTGCAATCTGCTCATATGTCATTTCTGACCTCCAGAGAGTTTCTCTTTTTTTCTTCTGTGATAGAAAGAAAAATGATGTCGAGAAGCAGAATACGCAACATGTTTGTGTTGGCAAACACAACCCCGACAGTTTAATAAACGAGTTTTTGTCTCCATGAATTAGAGCCGTGTTCCAGGTACTGTCATCCCTTTGTGTGCTGCCCAGACTGAGAGGATGTTCAACACAACACGTACTCCGGGAGTTGAGACTGGTAACGCATGTACACACGCATCCAAATGCGCGCACGAGAGCACGGTGACTGTCTGACGCAGGTCTTTTAACTGGTCTGCTTTGCATTTTTTTTTTTTTTTTTTTGAACATACAGAATGAACAATAAAGTCACATCCTCAAGAATGAGTTTTAACTTGAACAATCCTCTTCACAGATGTTCTTCAACACTGGCTGGATAGCGAATTTGTTGCTGTGTACCACAAGGGGCGTTATTTCCGCTTGTGGGTGTACCGGGCTGGCCGTCTGCTCTCTCCCAGGGAGATTGAGTCCCAGATTCAGAAGATCCTGGATGACCCTTCACCTCCACAACCTGGAGAAGACAAACTAGGAGCGCTTACCGCTGGAGACAGGTAGAAATAATCGGCCACGGTTGCACACCATTTACAGATTCACATGATGCGAGTTTTCCCAGTCAAGCTTAAGAACGAACTTCAAAGACCAATGTTTGTTTCATTTTCCCTATCTGAAAGTGATTGATGCACCCAAGTGTCGTTATTTTGGCTACAGTATGTGCGATCTTTAACAGACATGACAAATTATTCACTCCGATAGCGCTAGCTTACAGTGAAACATGAGGGCCGCCCACCGACTGCGTCCAACTCAGTGACCTGCAAAAAAATTGGCCTTGAGCGAAACTGCCCCCTCGATTTGCCGAAAACAGTACCCCAAACAAAGTTGTTGATGAAGTGAAAAATGTGCAAGAGCTAAAAGTGGCAATCATTTTTTGTTCATGTGCATCTCATGACATCCATGGCTTGAGCTACGCTGTTATTTTGCTACGACTTTTTGTATGCTTGGACTTGGTTTCCTTTCCCAATGACACCCTTGCGACGCATATTTGTTGAATTCTGTCAAGACTGTGGGCTCGCACATCGTCACGTGCGCTAGGCGGAGACACCTCCCCTGTGTGGGGCAGCAGGAATCATGTAGGAGGAGGCTCGGCCTTCTCCGACATCTGGCAGAAAATGGCTCCACAGCTGTGGACTTTATCGTAAAGTAATACAGGAACAAATTTAAGATAAAAGGACCGGTGAAAGTTCTACTGGAGCTTTTCACGCGGAAGCCAAAATTGCCTGTAAACATGCAGATCGCTGTCTGCTCACATGTTCCTTATTTCATAAGCTAAACCCCGATTGTGTACCAAATTTCGAGCATCAATAACGATCTACGGCGGGGGTGTCCAAACTTTCTTGTTTGAGGGCCGCAGACGTAAAAATAAAAGGATGGAAGGGCCACATTTGTCAAATTTTTGAAACACGCTGAAATCGATCAAGAAAGCAATCACATTTTGTTGGTTTTGTCAATGTCATTTCATCAGCTTTCTGTTGAAGGTGTTGCAGCCAAATCCACATTCGGAACCAAAAAAAACAAAAAACTGTACTTAGGTGACCTTTACTTGAGGATCAGTCTTGTGATGTCTTCAATTCAGCCATAGAGCACAAAGTGGAAGCCTTTTTTTTTTCCTTCTTTTTTCACCACGGTGTTTTGAAGATAAATTGTATTCCTCTTTTCACAACCATCCACCCACACTAGCACATGCATATCCATTTGCTTCCCCCATCCAATAATAGTCGTAGGTCAGCGAAATTTCTCTCTGGTCATGTGCTCCAATCTATTGGCAGGATTCCTTGGTCTCAGATGAGAAAGCTGCACTTCAGCTCCGGCGTCAACAAGCGATCTTTGGACGCCATCGAGAAGGCGGCCTTCTTCGTGACCTTGGATGATGAAGAGCAAGGCATGAGGGGAAACGACCCGGCAGGCAATTTGGATCGGTATGCCAAGTCGCTGCTTCACGGCAAATGTTACGACAGGTGAGGATGAAACGGAAGAAATGAAGGCCACTCGTGAATTATCCTCAGCAACACATTTATCTTTTGACGTGCGGGTTCAATTTTTCCTCCAGGTGGTACGACAAATCATTTTCAGTCGTGATATACAAGAATGGGAAGAATGGACTGAACGCTGAGCACTCCTGGGCTGATGCGCCAACTGTGGCTCACCTTTGGGAGGTGCGCGCATTCCACTCCGATGTCGAGTGAATGGCTGAAGACTTTTGGTTGGCCGTGGTCAAGAAAAAAGATTGAAAATAACGATGTCATATCAATGGCTGTCTCATCGCACGAACATGTTTTCGCCACCGCTCCCATTAGCATCCATCCATCCATCGGTTTTTAAAATCGGCTTCTCCTCACGAGGGTCGCGAGCATGCCGGAGCCTCCTCCCCCAGCCGTCTTCGGGCAGTAGGCGGGGTTCGCCGCGAACGGGTTGCCGGCCAATCGCTGGGCACACATAGACGAACAACCATCTGCGCTCACACCGAGGGACAATTTGGAGTGTTCAGTCAGCCTGCCGTGCAACGTGCATGTTTTTGGAACGTGGGAGGAAACCGGAGTACCCGGAGAAAATCCACGCAGGCACGGGAACAACATGCAAACTCCACAAAGCAAATGATTGCAAAATCTCAACGTTATTGACTACACCTGGCAATTTGACATTTCGGCACAGATTTTAGCAAGGATCATGCAAGTTGACACGCACGATTTGCTTCCCGGGGCCGCATAAGATGAGGTGGCGGGCCGGATCCGGCCCCGGGGCCTTGGGTTTAACATCTTTACCCTAAACATTTACATATGCTTCTTTTCAGTACACACTAGCCACTGACGCTTTCCATTTGGGATACACCGAGGACGGACACTGCAAAGGTGAAGTGGACCGCTCATTGCCTCCCCCCCAGAGGCTGATCTGGGACATCTCGCCAGAGGTGTGACTTTTCATTCCTGTGCAATCGCTCTGTATCGTGTGCCATCCTACCCCGACTCAAAACCTTCCAATGCCTTTCCCCTCCTCACCCACTCATCACTCATGTCTCGACAGACCCCACCACCAGGTGCGCACTTGTGATCCAATCGTACATACCTGAATGTTTTCATTCCATTTGCTGATGTGTTGGGACAAGCTTGCGCTGCTTTCGTATGGACACGTTCATGTTATCCAAAGTTCACGGGTGAAGAAGAGTCCCGCGCATCTGTCTTAAGTGCTTTGTACTGTTTCATCACTTGACTTAGCGGTATAAAAACGCAGCGGCGACTCTCAACTGTGAATGACACGCGTGCGAACCCCTGCTCCGCTTCGCAGCCCATCTTGGCTTAATTTAAGACTTTAAATCGTATCGTGATCCAAGTTAAGCTTCATCATGAAAAGGCGCAAGTCATTGTTTTATTGGCTTTTATATACACATAAACACACACCGATCATTCGTCTTCAGCTAAGTGTGACGGAGTAGGCAAAAAACACGAAGGCAGTTGAACGGATCTTATAAAAGGTGTTTGAATACAAAATTGCTTGCAGTGCACGAGTTAGACGGTGGCTTCAAAGGTCAAGCTGGGGACTGTAAATAAATCTTGTTTCTTGTTCGCTCTCCCACCCTATCAGGGCATGTCCTCCGAGACAAGTTTCTTCTGTGGGAGACCAAATAAAAAGTCAAAATTTAATCATCTGCTAAGTACTGGTGTTGGCGCTGTCTGAGTGCTGAAATGGAGTGGGTCATACTGAAAGTGAAAGTTCCTGTGATCTCCTGAGTGTGACGAAACAACAATGGAAAACAATTCCTCCTTTCTCTCGTTTCAAAAAAAAAAAGAAGGAAAAAAAGGTTATTCTGTTGCCTCTCCTTTCTCAAGAGCTCTTTAAAACAGCCATTCATGCCTTCGTCGCATCTCGGCTGGATGACTGCAAGGCACTTGACTTTGGAGTCAGCCAATCCTCCGTGGCGTGTCTCCAGTTGGTTCAGAATGCCGCCGCTCGCCTTTTGACTGGTCCTCGTAAGAGAGAGCACCCAACTCCCACTCTGGCATCCCTTCGCTGGCTCATTTGAGAGTGCTTTTGAGATCTTATTGTTTGTTTTCAAATCTCAGGTCTGTGGACCAGACGCTATTAGGTGTAGTGAGAACTAAGCGGAGGCTGAGAGGGGATGGAGCGAGGCAAAATCTCAGAGCGGAGCCAACGTACTGCCGTCGGAAACTTGATTCGTGCCAATAAAAGGCCCAAAAAATGACAGGCTTTGATCAAGTG